AGCGCCCGTGCACGCTGCGCGCTGCACGCGGCAGGCTGCTAGCCGAGCCCAGCCGACTGCCGGTTCGGTCGGACCGCAGTCCGGTCCAGACCAGTTCAGACCGGCTGGACCGGTTCAGTCTCATTTTAGGCCGATTCGTTTCATGTTTAAGTGTTCAGCCCGGTTTATGATTTTAAGGACATTTTCAGTTAAATTTCCGGGATTATTCCAGTTCAGTAATTCATGTCCGATCAGTTCAGGTTAAGTCAGTTCTTGTTATTCCGGATAAGTCTAAATATCAAGTTAAGTTAAATAGCGCATCTTAACGAAATTAATCAGTTAAGTTAACAGTCTGAGCATAGTCAATAGTAATTGTTTATATTATTTTCAGTTTGATCAGGCATCAGCACTACCTATCAGCTCAGCAGTTCAGGTGGGGACTCAGACTAAGTACTACATTGATTATAATATCGCTACCATGTTTGAGGTATGTATATTCAGTATCCGCTCGGAATGGTCGCCGGTCCATTCTGGATTCTAGTGGCCCTAGTCTGCCCACTAGAGTGTGCACATGGTGTCCGGCTTTGCCGGCAGATGTTCAGGTTCAGTTCAGACGTGACTTATGTCACGAGATCAGTATCAGATTATTCAGACCGGTATCAGATATCAGTTTCAGTTCAGTTATATATGCCAGGATCATGATATTGTTATTATTTTCACTGTTTTACATTAGTGTGAGTTTCCACGGAGCACAGTACCATAGTGCTCACTCCCCAGTTTTATCATGTTTTTCAGGTCAGGACGTCGGGCCGGGAGCATGAGCGTGACGTGACGGGACTTCAGGATATTTATATTTTGGACTGTATAAATATGATTATGATATTACGCTTCCTCTTATGATATTTTGATGACTTTTGACGATGTTTGATGACTTTTGACGTACTCATTTTGACGAACTTATCTTTTGATAAACTTCTGAGAAATTCACATTTTCAGTAACCGGACAATTTTATTAAGATTAAAATAACGGTTTTTCTAAGTTAAGTCACGATTTTTAAAGGTAGCACCCCGAACCAGTTTTCGTAAAGTAAAAAGGGTTTTATTTTAAAAGACTTTGCGAATTTTAGCGCGCTCTGATTTAACGATAAGGAGGGGTGTTACAATTGGTATCAGAGCACGTTTCTGCATCTCTGAAAAAGTTTTCAGTCAGTAATTTTTCAGAAAACCCGAACCGTCATGCTCACGCCCCGCCGACGACAGGTAAGTGCTGATTCAGTTTTTCAGTTATAAGCATATTACTTTGTCTATGCTCAGAATTAAGGATCGGGACTTTAGTTAAGATGCTCGAATAAGGTTCAGACTTTAGAGTGCGGACATGACTCTAGAATTCAGGACTTTCAGACATGACTCTAGACATTAGGATCTTCCTATATGACTCTAGAGTTCTTCAGGATTCATGTCAGTAATTATCGGCCATTTTTGGCAACTCGTCAAGAGATCTGTGTGCCTTAGTAATCAGTCAGGATGTTATCAAGTGTTCAGTAATGTTATCATGTATTCAGTAATGTTAAACTTTCTTATTGATCAGATGCCACCCCGTAGGGAATCCGATTACCCAATTCTTACTCAGGCCACAGTAGTCGCACAGTTCCGCGACTATCATGTTGAGAAATTTTTCTGGGTAGGGAGATCCCCGTATCATAGACGAGTTGATTTAGAACCTTAGAAAGGGATTAAGTTTAAGAACTCTAGATTCAATTCTAGATTTATTCAAGTCAAATTAGCAATAATGTTCCTTAGATATTTTTATCGAGAATTGCCATTTTGTCAATCAATTGGCAGACTTCAGGGAAAAATTCCTTGATTTAATTTGAGGAATAGACTCAAATTTCCTAAATCAGATCAGTAAATCATGTTCAAGACAAGAATTTTCATGTTAAAGGTTGTTATAATTCTCAAGTCATTGTTAAGGTTTCCAGTGTATAAGAGTGAATAGTCCGGGTTACCGTGGAGGCTTGAAATAATAGCCATTCAGCCGGGTATACCATGGAGGCTTGAAGCTGAAACCGGAGCAGTATGATTTCATGTAATAACAACCTTTCAAGTCAGTCATGTCAGATATTTTATCAGTCATGTTATTTCAAGTTATGATTTTCAGAGATCAAGATCAGCTATTTACTTTGTACTTGCGGGACCAGTTGATACTAGAGCAGCCCTATACAGTACAAAGTTATAAATTCATGTTCACGATTTACAGTTTATGTTCATGATGTAAGGTCGACGTATAATAGTGTTCAGCCGGGTTAATTGTGGCGGTCTGATATACAGACTATTAGTCCAAATTTACCTGGAAACTTGAAGTCGCACCTTACTAAGTCAAGTAAGTCACGTTTTCAATCTCGAAGCGACTATTTAAGTTGTCTCAGGATAGTTTTCAGAGTTCGAACAAAGATGATTCAGTCATGTGAGAGTCAAGTCATGGTTATTCAGTCATGAGAGTATTCAGGCCAGTCAGGTTAAGATCGAGGATAGTTTGTCTAATAAGACAAGACTTATCCATCATTTTCAGTATGTCAGCGCCTCGATTCTCAAATTCTGAAGAATCTGAGAAATCGTGGGAGATATTAAGTCATGAGGGACTTCTTCTTGAGGTTAAGTTTAACCTCGGAGGGAGTAAAAAAGTTGCAGGTATCACAGGTTGACATTCGCCGCGATGAAGAAGAGCCAATCGACAACAACGGATCGTGCCATGATGGTAAACCGACGCTTTCCATTCAAGATTCCATGCCTGAGTCTCAGTACACTGGGAGATTACAGAGAGAGTCCTCACCACCAGCATTCCGATTGGAGATTCGCCAGCAGCCAGGAGAGGATGACCAATTCGCTTCAGAATTTCGTTTTGAAATCATGTCTTATCAGTGGAACACTTTCTTTCAGAAAAGTGTCCATTTTCAGTCAGCAGTATTCTACAATTCACTTAATTGTGAATTGATGTCTTTTCAGTTCAGATCAAGTCTCTTATTCAGTATTAAATTACTGGATTCTCAAGTCATGCAATCAGTAAGTATAAGCTTTAAGTTAAGCTTGTACATTCCAGTTTTACTGTTTCCAAGGAGTTTAAGAGGAGGTTGACTTCAACACCGGTGTTGACTATTCCCGATCCTTCTCGGAGTTTCACTATCTTTAGCGATGCTTCGAGACAGGGCTTGGGATGTGTCCTTAAGCAGGACGGCCAGGTCGTCGCGTATGCTTCAGGTCAGCTTAAGCCTCCTGAGCAGAACTATTCTACGCACGACTTGGAGTTAGCAACAGTCGTACATGCTCTCAAGATTTGGCGACATTATCTTTATGGCGGACGTTGCGAGATATTCACAGACCATAAGAGCCTGCAGTATATCTTCACGCAGAAGGAGCTTAA